CTTGCCACCCCAGCTGCCACCCCAGTTGGCATCTTTGTTTTGAAAGAAAAGTTGTGGCTCATCGGACATTTATGAGAGAAAGTCTCTAATGTCCGAGTGCAAGTGAATGCAGCACAAGATGCACGTCATGTAACCCCTCCCCCGGTCCTGGCGCGAGAGTGGAAATATGATTGGTGGCGAATTCACTTGAATGGGGGGACGGCGCAAAACGAGAAGCCTTTCGGACCCAAGCACTGAAGGAATGAGGTATTTGCGGTCTACAATGACAGAGAAGAGAATGTCAAGTTTGGCTGTACTCAGCATTGAATCAAAACGCACTACAGCTGTTGATCTTAATAAGTTTGTGAGGCATTTTGCTGAACAAAATAGTAATCGCCGCATTCAGCTGTAATAGACATGCCAACTTGATGCTCTGCTCACGGATGACTCGATGAGAATAACAAACTGTTAAGATGATGACCTTGTATGCGTGTATATATTTTTTTCTTTGAGGGGGTCTGCCCCCAAAAAACAGCTTTAAGTCCTGAGAAAGTAAAATAAGACGGTGTGTAAAACTACACTGCCCAGCCAACAGAAAGTAACCACTTTGATTTAACTAGGCCAGTAGGTAAGGACCTTCCACTGGATAATAACTGCAGCGATGTTTTAGCTGAATACACGTTTGTTAACCCTAACTGATGCAGTTAGTCACTTCTTTAATGTTTGTTCTTTCTGATGTAAAGTAATGCTGGGGGGAAACGATTATTTTGAAAACGATTAATCGGGCGATTATTTGATCGATTAGTCGACTAATCGAACGATTATTTTTCTGTTGTTCAATTCATAAAAAACGTAATGTAAAAAAAACGTAATGTAAAAAAAATGTTTCACGATACTGTGTCTCAGGGGATCTTAATATTTAAGAACCTATTAATGTGTTATACCAGATTAACGGAAATAATCTCAGCTAACTGACGATACAAACCATGTTTACCAACACAAAACAAAACACAAGTCTCATAAGAAGCAAACTAAAATGCTATCTAAATGACCCCTGAGCGAAAAATGCTAACGGACATTGGCACAGAACTCAAGATAAAAGTACCCTTATTACTTATCGTAGCTGCACATACAAGATATCTGATTAAAACTGAGACTCCACAGATTATGTAGGTACATAGTATCATCACTGAGTGATCCGGACTCGCGACAGGGGAAGCAAATACAGTCATCACAACACGTACCATCACAGAGCTTCTAGGGAGATCGTCTCACCGCCGTTGCTGTCAATCTGATCAAAATACGTGTTCAATGGCATTAAAATGAGAAAAAACGCGGCTGAATCGGTTAATCCATAGGTTTTTAACGTCTATGTATAAAAAATTATTGAATTTATAATCCATAATTCCATTTTTATGTAAAAATCGGAGAGCAAATGCTAGCTGCTAATGGTTGCCACCACAGCTAGCTGCTGCTTCCGGTCAAGCAGCAGTCTCAGTGAGATATAAATATATAAATATCTTTGCGTTTTGGACTAACTTTAAAATATTCCCATGCTTTTGAAGACCTAGGGCGAGATGTTTTCGTTTGAGGGCTTCGTGCGCAATCCTGTGAGGAGGAGGTGGTAGCCGTTTCAGTCTCCATTGTGTTAGAAGTGCGATTGCGAACTGCTTGTTGCTTTGGGTGACCCACGTGTGTGTGGCGACCATATATACAGTCTATGGTGGCGACGCGTCGACGCGGAAATATGTCGTTGACGATATTTTGAAGTCGACAATGTCGACGCGTCGCTACAGCACTAATGTAAAGTCAAGGTTGTAACTGTATATCAATAATGATATAATTACTTGTTTTTCAAATTTGAAGGAGGGTGAGCAAGCATCTTGATGAACATTCATCATTAACTCCTCCAAAAAAGATAGTTTATTCAATAATAAATTAATATGTGAATCATAACAGTTCTTCACTATATCTGTAAAGCGTCTTTGAGCACCTGTAAAAACGCTAACAAATTAAATCTATTAATATTATTATTTATTAACAGTGATTGACAGCTGATAGGAATAATATGATTGTTAATAGTATCATATTCATTCAGACAAACATCGATGAGACAGTTAATTAATGTACTTATTGCAGCAGTCTGCATAGATTTGGTACCCCTGCTGGTCTAAGAGTGAGACAAACTCATTCAGTTATTCAGTTAAAATTCATTAAATTACGTCAGCCACCTTATATGTAAGGCTTTACTGATGTGCCACAATAATATCACCTATGTGATTGAGTTAAAATATTAATATTGTGGCTTTCCAAGTTAACATTGATTGTAGGGGTGTAACGGTTCACAAACATTTCGGTTCGGTACGTACCTCGTTTTTAGGTCACGGTTTGGTTCGTATGGTACATTACATATATTTTTTTTAATTATTATTAAACTGTGACTAATGTATTCAAATAAATACAAATATAGTAAAATAAACATTAAGGTGCAGCATTTCGATGAACTGAAATAATCTGTATTTGAACTGTACTAGTACCTAAGCAGCCAGCTTGACATTAGGATTTGCTTGTCATTGTATTTTCATGTTGTTTAAAGAAAGATGAACTTGTCCACATTGCTTGCTGAAATGGCAGATCTGCTGGCACTAACAATGTCTCCTGCTGTGGAGAACACCCTCTCTCTAGGGACAGTGGTAGCAGATACAGCCAGGTAGCGCTTTGCTAACATGGCAACATAAGGATATTTGGCGTTTGTAATAGCTTTGGCTTGGTCTAAACTTTCTGCGAGTGGTGGAGGCTTAAATGCTAGTGGGAGTTGGGTTTGCACTTCAGTCTTTTTTCTTTTGGTACCGGTGATATTCACATTCGGGTGATACCTTTTCAAATGAGTTTGATGTATTGCCAACCGCGTAACCAATGTTAGTTGAACAATGCCGACAAACAGCTTTGATTCGGTCCACCTGTCTTTGTCCGTCATTCTTGTACGTAACTGCAAAACCAAAATGTTCCCAAACCGGAGACTTCAATGATGCTGGACGATTTTCAGCTTTATCTGCGTTCCCCATTTCCTCAAATTACTGACTACATTTGAACGCATCCCTGTGACCAGCTCTCATAGTATGCCTCTCGTCCAATGAAATGACTTGGTCGCTCTATGATATATACCTGAGATTACTTCCAGAAAGTTGTTCATGTTCTCAATTTTTTACGTTTAACGCTATATTCGTTCGGTACACACGTATACCGAACCGAAGGGCCCGTACCGAATAATTTCAGTACGGGTACGTGTACCGTTACACCCCTAATTGATTGATATTGTGATTTAAATCAGCATATACTTCTGTCAGGGTATGCCAACCCTCAAAATCTCCTGCCACCCTCTTGCCACCCCATGAATTTTGTCTAGATCCGACCCTGCTCCACACTCATGGTTCAGTCCACCTTAAGAAATAAGACCGACCTCGGAAGCAGTTGTATTTTAAAAAAACCTTTATTGACACGAGTACACTTTTTTATAAGAATATAACTAAACCACAAAAATGACTCCGGAAAAGCTGCAGATAGAGCCATAAGAAATGAATGCAACTGATTTCATCTGCGCGGTTTGGCTTTATGAAGCAGGCACGCAAACGGTTACGTCATGACGCAAACGATGACGCAACGACGCATTACCAGTCGGACTCTGGGCGGTGTGAAAAGAGCCAGAGCTAAACCGAAGAACTGGTTCTGAACCTGAAAAGCTCTAGCACGGAGCTTGAACCGGAGTTGCGTTGGTGTGAATGAGGTAACAGAGGCTGTGTGCTCCTCCGTGGCAATGACGGCTTGCGTTAAACATATTTGTCAAGTGGGGGAAATAGGATTTCGACATGTCCCCCCTGTCCCCAGTGTAATTATGCGGAGACCCCTGCTCTAATGGGTCCGACTAGAATGACAAATATTGTTAGTTCCGCCTATTCCGTCAAGAAATAGCCAAGAAATAGCCAAGAAATAGTTTAATCATAAACTTTTTTTTCAGGGGGGTCCAAAGTCAGTGTTGACGGGACAGCCCTCCAAAGTGATATACCCTCTCTTGGCTTAAAAACCAACAGCCAGAATAAGAAAAGAGGACAAGGTAGAGTTATACATCTGTAAATGGTATAGTTCCACTAATACTGCTGTTACCTGGCTGCTATCACACTTCTTTATACATGCTACACCTTTTTTTAAATACTGTACTGGTACTTTTTGTTGTCCACCTGGATGTGTGCTCTTGTAACTCTTGATTAATATCTTGTTACTTTTGGCTCTTTACTTACAATAAGATTAAAGTACTGTAACAATGTAAATGTCCCCTCTGTGGGAAGAATAAAGGTAGGCTATTGTGATTCTGAGATAGACCCAACTGCTGGCAGTTAAATAGTATTGAGTAATTTAGAAAGGAATACTATTCTGTATACAAACATGACATACAAATCCCTCGGTTTCGCTGTTATTTATATTTCTTCAATATTTTAGGGGTCAGTGGCTTATACAATAGTTTTGAAAAGGTATTTTTTTAAACATCTTCTGAGCAGATTATAATATTCCATGTTCAGGAGAACAGGTCCGGCTCAGTCGATAATTACTTGAGTAAAGCTGTGTGTAGGAAATGTTAAAAAGCGCATTATTTCCAATTGAAATATTTTCTCTTCAAATAATTTTTTTACACAAAAAATTGATAATAATAAAAGGACAGAATCTGGGAGAAGAGAGCTGTTAATATAGTTGATATGGTGTTTCTGTCCCCCCCTCCTCATAATCATAACATGTTAGGAGGAAACGCTCTTTAAGTAATGGAGCCCTGCCTAACATAAAAGACAATGATTAGCTAGGATCTTAAAGTGCACATAGCCTTTGCTCATTTCCATTTCCAGACGTGGAGTTTGGAAAATACCTTAATGTTTAAAAAAATAACTACGTATGATTATAATTATACAAAATGAAATTATACAAATGAACATGGCTCACCGTCACGAAGACGGTTTTATTCTGAAAAACTAGGGCGGAAGTGTATTTCGTTGTTTCCGATGGTGGAACACAGACAGTTATGTGAATAAACCGAATAAGCCGCTGAACTGGACTATCCGGTACCGTCCGGTACCAACAAAGACCCACATACATCGACTCATTGACAGGTATTTATAGAACGTGTGATAAGGTCAGAAATGGGTCGAGTGGACATTAATGTCACGGAGCTGAAACGCTTTCCTCTTGGTAGCTAACGCTAGCTAGCCGGCTAGTGAAAACACCCAAAATGGCTGGCGTGGTCTATGACGGATGGCTCTGTATTTCCCTGTTCACGTTATTATTTCTCGAAACAATACCGCATGTACATTACAGTAAACAAACGTGTGTATAGGTTAAACAGACGTGCGCATTTTACATGTTCGTTTTTACAGATAGTGATAATGCAAATGTTACCCAGGTACTCGTGATTGAGAACCATCTATCCCGCGGGATGTAACGTTACCTCACGAGCGCTATCTGAATATTGAGCTGGTTAATATGACGTGAAAATATGATGTAACGGAAACTTTATTCTTAACTAATCATTTAAATCTCCAAATAATTCACATACATGTTGACCATGTTATAGTTTGCATGTACTTCCGTGCGTAAAATAATCACTACTCGTGCCATCTGTGGCATCTATATCACCACTGTACGATGGCCGGGAGTTGCAAACGCGGAACAACGGCCAAAAACGCATACATAAGCAGGAAACAGCTGCAAATAATGAAATGAAAAACAAACAAATCCTGAAAACAAATATAACAAAAAAACGCTGCATTTACAGAAATGATGCAAACTAAATACAACACACAAACCCCGAAAACAAACGCAATTGAAAAACGCTGCAAATACATTAACGATATGCAAAGTCAAAAACACATACATTGGCAACAAACCCCAAAACACACAATGCTCCAGGCCTCTAGGGGGCGCGTTACGTGGAACAGATGGATGTCTGACCAGACTTATACCTCATTCACACCAACGGTTCCTGTTCAGACCGCAGCGGAGCAGCCTCTTAGTTCCGGAATCCGGTTCGCTTCAAGCACCAAAAATTGTCCGGCTGGAGCAAAAGCATACGTCACGCTTACGTCGAGACGGGGGCAGGGGCGGGATGAACTCCTGAACAACAACAAAAAGCCGGCGTTTTATCCAGTTTGTACACAACGATGGAGAAACTTAACAAGCAGCAGTGGTCCACTGAAGAGACCAGCTACCTACTGGGAATCTGGTCTTCCGAAGAGGTACAGAGGAAGCTGGAGCACAATCGGCCATTGTTGTTGTTGTCGGTGTGAGCTGTGAGGGGTTTTCGCGCGGTTTGGCTTTATGAAGCAGGCACGCAAACGGTTACGTAATGACGCAAACGATGACGCAATGACCAGTCGGACTCTGGGCAGTGTGAAAAGAGCCGGAGCTAAACCGAAGAACCGGTTCTGAACCTGAAAAGCTCTAGCACGGAGCTTGAACCGGAGTTGCGTTGGTGTGAATGAGGTAATAGAGAGAACGAATGAGAGGGATGGAAATTGAAGCCGGAGGAAAGAAAGTTGATCTAATTGTTGCAGAACTCTCTGCAAAAATAACAAATACATCTTGCAGCAGGTTCAATATTAAGAGCCAATGTGTGGGATGGAGCAATCCGCTGCTTCAAAGGTGCCTCATTCGACCCTTCTCATGTCAGTTAAGTTCACTGATGATGAGGGACACACTGAGGATGGAGGGGACACTGGTGGTCCCAAGCGTGAGTTCCTGACCCTCCTTATGGAATGCCTGAGAATGAAGAAAACATCACGTCAGCAACTGTTTGTGCCCCATGGCGGTGTGACTTTCCCAGCCGCTCACTCTCTTAAAATCTGATTCTAAATGTATAATGTTCTCTATAAAGATAGAACTAATACACAATTATGAATGTATAATATAAGCTGTTTTTGTATTTAATGCATTGGTCTACAATTTAATGATGGCTTCTACATATTTCACATAAACAGACAATGAAAACATTTGTCCTTCACTCTGATAACTAGTGTATGCATCTGCAATTAGTATTCTAAATAGAGTAGTGTGTTCAATCCTTATTTCTTGCATTTGAAACAGATACAATAAATAAAAGTGAACTTACTGTTGTGTTCAACTTCTGCCAAAAACATTTTTGCCACAGAACACTTGAACTGTCCCCAGATGTTGGCCACAGAAAGGACAAAACATGGCAGCCTGAAAAGACATACATTGATGTTGTAAATCCATTGAATCAAGTCAATCAAAAACACACAGTCTAAATTAGGGCTGCACGATATTGAAAAAAACTGACATTGCGGTTTTTTGTTCCCCTGCGATATATATTGCGGTTTTTTGAACCTGTTAAGCCTCAAGGTCCCGGCGGGTACTTTACTTTTTTTTTCACGACACTGTGTCTCAGGGGATCTTAATATTTAAGAACCTATTAATGTGTTATACCAGATTAACGGAAATAATCTCAGCTAACTGACGATACAAACCATTTTTACCAAAACAAAACACAAGTCTCATAAGAAGCATCTAAATGACCCCTGAGCGAAAAATGCTAACAGACTTTGGCACAGAACTCAAGATAAAAGTACCCTTATTACTTATCGTAGCTGCACATACAAGATATCCGATTAAAGCTGAGGTTCCACAGATTATTTAGGTATATAGTATCATCACTGAGTGATCCGAGCTCGCGACAGGGGAAGCAAACACAGTCATCACAACACGTACCTTTACGGAGCTTCTAGGGAGATCGTCTCACCGTAGCTGTCAATCTGATCAAAAGACTGTTCAATGGCATTAAAATGAGAAAAAACGCGGCTGAATCGGTTAATCCATAGGTTTTTAACGTCCATGTATAAAAAAATTATTGAATTTATAATCCATAATTCCATTTTAATGTAAAAATCGGAGAGCAAATGCTAGCTGCTAATGGTTGCCACCACAGCTAGCTGCTGCTTCCGGTCCAGCTGCAGTCTCAGTGAGATATAATATATAAATATCTTTGCGTTTTGGACTAACTTTAAAATATTCCCATGCTTTTGAAGACCTAGGGCGAGATGTTTTCGTTTGAGGGCTTCGTGCGCAATCCTGTGAGGAGGAGGTGGTAGCCGTTTCAGTCTCCATTGTGTTAGAAGTGCGATTGCGAACTGCTTGTTGCTTTGGGTGACCCACGTGTGTGTGGCGACCATATATACAGTCTATGGTGGCGACGCGCGGAAATATGTCGTCGACGATATTTTGAAGTCGACGCGTCGCTACAGCACTAGTATGCAGCTTCCGGTTTTGGCTACGCGTCGTCACTCTCACTCCTTATTTGTTCATGTGTTGGTGTGTGTAGAACTTCCCCTGATATTTGACCTTTTTAGACACATTTAGCACAAACAAAACCCTCTTTTGGGGCCATTTGGGTGGATTTTCCATATCTCTGGCCCACCTTGCTGGATTTTGACATGTGACATCTCTTTCTGACCGTCAGAGCCAATGGAATCGAGGGGAAATCACACAGTCCTTATTTGGTAATGTGTGTGTGAGAGACTTCCGCATAGCCAAGACCGGAAGCAGCAGCCACTATGGTGGCTACCATTAGCAGCTAACTTTTGCTCTGCGATATTTACATAAAAATGGAATTATGGATTATAAATTAAATCATTTTTTTTATACAGAGACGTTAAAAACCTATGGATTAACCGATTCAGCCGCGTTTTTTCTTTCTCGTTTTAATGCCATTGAACAAGTCTTTTGATCAGATTGACAGCTACGGTGAGACATCTCCCCTAGAAGCTACGTAAAGGTACGTGTTGTGATGTCTGTGTTTGCTTCCCCTGTCCGAGTTCAGATCACTCAGTGATGATACTATATACCTAAATAATCTGTGGAACCTCAGCTTTAATCGGATATCTTGTAAGTGCAGCTACGATAAGTAATAATAAGGGTAGGCCTACTTTTATCTTGAGTTCTGTGCCAAAGTGCGTTAGCATTTTTCGCTCAGGGGTCATTTAGATGCTTCTTATGAGACTTGTGTTTTGTTTTGGTATAAAATGGTTTGTATCGTCAGTTAGCTGAGATTATTTCCGTTAATCTGGTATAACACATTAATAGGTTCTTAAATATTACGATCCCCTGAGACACTGTCGTGAAAAAAAAAAGTAAGTACCCGCCGGGACTCTGGGGTTTAACAGGTTAAAAAAACCGCAATATATACCGCAGGGGGGGAAAAACTGCAATGTCAGTTTTTTTCAATACCGTGCAGCCCTACCCTGAACTTTACAAATAAAACAAGTCGACCTGAGGTGAAGCCAGTTACTGACAGTAGGGCTGCACAATTATTATTTTTTCATTATGATCTCTACCAAACAAGGATTTGTAATGATATTTTCACATCATTTGCCCGTACCAAATAATGTGCTTACTGCGATTTGGAAATTGCAGTAAAAATAATCAAATATTGTGTGGCAATAACTGAAAGTTGCAGACAATGCACTGAGTTAACATGTCCTATATTCAGACGATTAATGCACATATCTTTCTGTTGACATTGTGCGGATGGTTTCTATAATTTGTATTTAAAGTTAAAAGTCCTGTGGGAAGTTAGTCCTCTGAGTTAAAAGAAAGAATTTGCTCTGATTCTCTGACTCTTGATGATATTCTGGACTGTAGATGATGATATTCTTTGCAATTTCACATTGAGAAACGTTGTTCTTAAACTGTTGGACTATTGGCTCACGCAGTTGTTAACAAAGTGGCAAACCTGGCCCCATCCTTGCTTGTGAACGACTGAGCCTGTCGGTGATGCTTCTTTTATACCCAAGCATGACACTCACCCAATGGACCTGTTCCCCTGTGGAATATTCCAAACAGGTGTTTTTTTTTAGCATTCCTTAACGTTTTCAGTCTTTTGTGACCTCTGTCCCAGCATTTTTGGAACATGTGAATGAGTGAATATTTGCAAAAAAAACAAGTTTATCAGTTTGAACATTATACATGTTGTCTTTGTAGTGTATTCTATTGAATACAAGTCGAAAAAAGGATTTGCAAATCATTGTTTTATGTTTTTATTTACGTTTTACACAACGTCCCAACTTCAATCGGAATTGGTGTTTGTAAATGGTACTTGGCT